AACACAAAAGTGAGCTATATTCTTTGAATGATGTCAAGAATGATTATTTATATAAAACAAAAGAATAAAAATGATTCAATTCTTTATGAAACGTATTTTATTTCTATAAATCTCGATAAATAGCCATGCCATTAATGAAAAACTATTAATGACATCCGAATCTCAACATAAAATATAAGCATTTGTGCCGAAAAAAGATCGGAAAATATAGCATAGAGAATCAATCAATCAAACGATACTATTTTATTTATAACAATAATGAGTATATTCGAATTTGATCTTTAGTTCAAATTTAATATCAAATTTAAGAAATGTTTCAGTAATTCTTAATGATTTATTAAAATCTAATGATCGTTATCATTGACCAGCATATGGAGGTTCGCATCTATTCTAATCATGACTTTTTATTCTTCTTGTATAATGTTGTAAGGTAAACCTAATAAAGTAATTGTTGATATACATGTTTGTACTATGGGTAGTGTTAGTGAACTTGACATAGAAGATTCATTTGATTGATATTCGTCCTATTTATAATACAACATATTAGCTATGAGTTATAAATTATTATCAGTTGATATGCAAATGTTTACAAAAATTTGGAAATCTGATACATATTGTAATAATGATAGACGATCTTATATTCACTCAGTACTTCATTTTAATCGATTTTTTCGTATTAGAACTGATGGAACTAGACGTTATTCACAACGGTTAACATATTCTAAAATTAATGTTGATCGATTCCTACTTTTTTCTTTCTAATTTATTTTAATAGTTTAACTATTCGAGCATCATTTCTAATGAATCTTTGAAATTTACCACTTGCTATGCGACATTGTACTTTATTAATTGGTAGTTTTGCTTATGATAATGAAGAAACAATATATGAGTGTAATAAGAAAAATGCTGTTGATATTCAAAGTGATTTAATAATGAATCAATTTTCATTAGGCTTACTGAGACTTCGTTATGGGTTCAGTATGAGTATAAACGACGGATATCACTTTGGTTAGTTTTTTGTAACTTAAATGATCTCTATTTTCTTCGTTTACATAAAAGAAAACATCTAAATATTGTGAAGGGTTCGACAGTGTAACGAGTAATTCATAGATAATCTTTTTTAATTTATAGGTTCATATTTTCCGCATGTTTTTCATTGTCCGAGAACTTTTCTTAGTTTCAAGTTTATTTAAGAATCCTCAACTGTATTTTTCTCTACGATAGATATAAAATTTATTCGCAAATATTCGGTTTTGTTAGTTTATTAACTGAGATATTTAACAGCATGACTAGTGCTAAAATTTAGGGTGACATAATATTAAATTCAAGTTTATTTTTCTTGTTAGTGGGCTCATGAAAAGAATTTTATTCTTCCTTACAGATACTACAGTAGTTTTCATCGATTGATAAATTAACTAATCATTGGCTATCCTTGAATATGAATCTATAACATTCTGCTGTATTTAAATATGTTTCATTTTCATGTCTATTTAACTTCAATCTTTGATGATATTGCAACTCAAAAGATTGAAAACTAGACAACTCAAAGGCTTTATTTGATCTAAATAAAAAGAAGTGATTAGATATTCTTATCTAATCGCTCACTATCTCAAGTACAGAAATGCATTCTATATACAGATTAAACTTTCGTATTTACAATTATTCGAAACATCTTCCTTCACATTCGTTATATTATTCTTACGACTAAGATGAGAATGGAAATTTTTTCTAATTCAAGTGTATATACCATGTATACTTGTTGTATTCGTATCATGCGCTGATCTATGGCTAAATCGTAAAGAACGAATGATCGTATTAATTTAGATAGGAATTTGATCTTTATATTTTTGTATTATTGTTTAGGTGTAACAACAGTCTTAATACTTATATCTGTTATCTTTGAAGACATTATTCGAATTTGCGCTTCTTCATTATTATAGAAGCATGAAATATTGAATTTCCATTTTCTATATTATAATAAGTCAAATAAATATATTATTTAAATAGTATTACAATACTTGCTTTGTTTTATTATACTTTTTCATTTTTTATGAAAACAAATTACAAGAAACGATTTTATTTTAGAAAAATTACATGAATAATGAATACGAAAAGGTTTAGGATAATATCTAATGTCTATGCGGGTGTACTTTCGATGCCTGGACAACGAAAATAACTAAGGATTTGTGGTTCTCAGCAATCGAAAGGGAAGAACTTCGAATGTCTTTTTAAAACTCACAATGTTTAGGAAAGAAATTGAAAAAAATGTATAAAGCTGTTCCGTTTCAAGAAAGTTTTGATGAAAAGTCAGAAAATTTGCTAAAAATCAACACTCGAATTTCGCTGAACTGGAAAATGCAATATGAACCTTCGAATGCCAGTTGACGAATACATTGATATTCTTGAAAAAAAAAGAATAATCGTTTGAACGATTGAAAAAAACCACTATTTTTAAAAAGACAAGCACGTTATACTAGAATCAGGGCTTCGCTTTTGTCGCTATAAACCGCATAAGCTACGTTTTAAGCCATTAGATGATCGAAAATCATAAAGAAACTGTGAAATAGTCATTGTGTAATTCATTTCAAATATAAACATGATTTAAATAAATATTTTTAATGGATGGCTTGATTCTCTTTCTGGCTTATCATCGGCCGTATTCATCATAGCTGTTTTAGCTATACAAGAGCGAGAGGGTCAGCTAATTTTTCTTACTATGTTCATTTTAATAATATTAAAAAGACCCATAAAACTGATACTAGCGATTCGATCATGAGAGTTCGTTCTCGAATTATAACAAATATATTCTGACTGTCGTTTCTTTAGGCTATCGCAACAGAAACTGACAAATTTTCATGCTTATGTCGAAAGCCAAGAACTGCAATAACTAGTTGAACAGTCAAATCACTTTCTTTTTCCAAAAAACTTGATTTTTCTCATAAATATTAACTTCAATCAATTGTAGAGATCACTCAAATATTTATCATTGTTATACTCAAGATGTAATAATTCAGACATATTGTTAATCAATTAATAAATAAAATCTTTATTGATTCTAACTAGTTTTTCCACTAAGTTAAGGCAAATGACTTTTATATCTACATTGGACAAAACGGAAGAACTGGTTTTAATTGAAAAAGAAAATGTCTTCGTCACAAATTTCTTAGTGTTGTTCGAACTATTAATGATAAAATTTTATTTAAATCTGTTAGTCTTGAGAATTGAATAGCAACAACACCGTGTGATCTTCATATAGAAATGATTGTATGCAATCATATTTTTCAAGATGATAAGATAATTCACGTGATTGTACTAATTGTAGAATGTTCTTGTGTTTCTAGGATTGATTCCATTAAATGAAAATAATTCACCAAGAAAACAACTTTAGAGATCTGTTTCTTAAAGATAAAAATGAACTTTATAAGAGATTTGTTTTTTTTTTTATTAAGATGAATATTATTCCATATTGGATATTATTGTTTGCATTGTATCATCAAAATACACTTGATTTATTTTTTTAAACTATAGTCTATGAAAATTCATAAAAATCTTTATAAAATTCAAAATGACAATGCAATAAGAACTAAAAATCCTATCTTCTCCAGTACTGTGAAAAGTCATCGAGCAAAAAATAGAGGTTAGAAACAAAATACTGGGTTTCGAGCCTGATTTTGACTATAATCCTAGCCTGAATTCGTTATTGGATCTGAGTTGGGTCTCTAGTCATTCCTGTTAGATGCAGAGCCTAATGCTTCATCAAACATTGGCATTCTCAAGGGATGTCATGCAGGTATAAGTGGCGTTTTTCGACATTTTGGATTTAGAATACAGTAGCATAATCTCTCTTTATTGTGTTGTTAAAGATCAGTAGCCTCGACTAATTGCTTGGCATCGTGTTTTTCATGAATTTGACGGAAATATTTTAATATTTGCATTCAGTTCTGGATTTCAATATCTGCCATTTCTACATATACGGATCACGAAGGAGGCTTGACTACCGAGGCTTGTGTAATAAGAGTCGAATTTCGGTAGCGACGTGAGGTACGCATAGAAAAAGATATTTTATTACGACATGGAATAAGACTATGAAGTAGGAGTTTATGGCGGTGATAGGAAGAGAGAGCAACACATAAAAATTAGTGGATGATGAAACCAGAAATAGAGAATTATAGAGAAAGACAGCGTGAAGGTGAGCGACTAAGAGAATGAATAAGATAGTTGGTTGGGAAATACAAGAAAGAGAAGAACAAAGTTTAATAAAGATTATGAAATTGAAAGTGTGATGAGTAGAATTAGGGGAACCATGCATTCAATAGAAAAGCAGAGATTCAGAATCAGAGAGTCAAAATGAATGAAAACAGTAGAAACATTTCGAGAGTTAATGTGCACAGAACAGAATGGCAGATAAACGACATAGGACAGTTGGTAACTTTCGCATAGAAGGCGGACATGTTGTGCTGCTGCTCTCGGAAATGTTTTTTTTTTTGTAATACTTATAAGTTATTAACTATTTCTAAACAAATTTTCTTCAAGGACACACCCATCCTAATTTTCCTCAATAAAAATCTTTATCATTTTTTTTTATAAGAATTTGGTCACAAACACTTATCAATATCGGTTACATCAACTCCTATTTGAAAAAATATTTTCTTCAAACAGCTTTATAATTCGTAATAACATTTTTGGATTTATGACTTTTACAATGTCTAGGTCTCAAAATTGACAAGTCATTTCTAAGCAAAGAAAATCTATCAATCTCGTAATAAGTATAGAACTTCTTGTTTTTATTATAAGTTTTTTTTTTTGTATCACTTTAACTGATAATTGAATAAGAATGTAACAAACATTGTTCAATAGCGACATTTTTAAATGACAAAAGCGTATTGGTTGATATAACATTATATGCATTCGTCTTGTCGGTGTTGAATAACAGAACGGAAGAGTGAAATATAAAACTTTTACATAGTTTTTTTTTTGCTTTTTTGGTGCTAAGTAACAAAATGGATATTGATATCGTTAATACTATATTACGATTATGCACTGAAAAACAAACATGTCTATTCGAAGTACCTTTTCTATGTAATTATTGTCTTGAACAACATTTATGTATGAATTCGAAATATATTCTTGCTAGTATTAAAAATTATATGGAAATATTTAAAATTAGTCGAGATAAAAATCGAATTGAATTCTATATGCCTGTTTGTATTAATTTATATCGAGATTGTCTATTATTTTTATGTAATATCTTTTGTTTTTTGTTTTCTAGTTTGAAATATGTCGAAATAAATTCATCAATGGTATTTGTCAAAATGGTGATACATTATGTACAAATTTTCATATATGTTATGATTATTTTTATACAAATTCATGTCGTTATTCAATCAATTGTCCATATCCACATATATTAACAGAAAAATATCATAAAAATACACTTGGATCATTAATTAATCTTGATTTAGATTTATTAACTAAAGCTTTTCGAGTTTATTGTCAATCTCGAGTAATTTAATAGATTTTATATTTATTTTTCAAAGATAAAATTTTATTTATTTAGAAACATTTACTTAATTATAATTCATCAAAAGGACAACAACAACAACCGATTGTCAATTCATCTTTAATAAATAACTCAACACCATCATCATCTATAACAAATAATGGACGAATGATAATAAATCCACAAATAGATGGAAATTCATCATGGAAAACAAATAATCGATTACTTATTACTTTAAGAACTCTTCCAAAACAACAAACAATTCCGTCAAATCGTATGTTTTTTTTTTTTCATCAAACATAAATATTCAATGAATGATGATTTTAAATATCTTAAAATGAAAGTCGTTTGTTTTTTTTGTAATAGAGAAAAATCATTAACAAATCTTCTAAATAGATGCACGTAGATGATTAGGTTTATGCTTAATTATATCTTTCAAACGAAAGATAGTAGACTCAAATATCGGATATTTCGAAAGTCCATTAGAAAAAAACAATATGAATAACGCATGCAAGAAATATTATTCTATTTCCTTTAAATTTGGCTTTTTTTTTATGCATAATTTTATTTATAGTAAATAATTATAATGAAATTAAAATTCTTATGTCCTTTGTTTTGAAATTTTTAAAGAATGAAATATTAGACAAAATTCCCATTGATACTATTGTATGCTTTTTTCTTATCATTCGTCTGGTTTATTCAATCTAATCTTCGATAAGTATCTTGTAAATATTTCTTTTTATATGCTCTCATAGAAAGAATTCGTTCGATGAGGAGTACAACGATTATCGAAAAGAATTATTTCTATGAATTTATTTGTTAGACAACATATTCTTGTGAACTATTTTTCTGATTTCTGTTACAATTTAGAATATTGTTGGAAAAAATATTAGATGACAAGTTTTATTTGACAATCGTACGTGACTTAAATTTGATTTTGAATAAAACTTAAAGAAACAATAAGTTTAATGAATGAAAGTTTATGTAAAGTGTTTAATAGTTATTCATAGATATTTTTTTTTATTCCGATGGATTTTTGAAACATTCTATACATCAAACTATATCAAGAAAACATCTTTAATATATATCTGTAGAGATTAATTGCGAGTATGGTTATATCATAATAAGCTCGTTTAGCTATTGTTGAGTCTCAAGTTAACATGTAATGTTTTAATTGGAAATAAGATTTGATTAACGTGGAGAAGATGATGAACTCTATCTTCGTTTTTTCTATATAACTATAGAAGTATCAGTGAACAAGTTATACAAGATTCTTCATAATCCTGTAGTCTAATCACCACGGAAAGTTATAGTTTTCTGAATACGATGTAAGTTTCTTCTTTATAAAATGTATTCATGAACAATCTACCACAGTTGACATTCCCCGTTTTGGTTCATATTAGATTTACAAGGAGATCTCCGTGAGATTAGTAAAAGCCTAAAAAGAGTTCGTTCTCATAGAGCTGGTTTACTATAGTTTCGATCCAAAATTTTGTCCATAGTTATGTTTATTGACTCCCTAGAATATTCTGAAAAGTTATTGAATTTTTCAAACGAATTCAATATCTTGTCGCAAAAATATTCTTTTCGACTGAAATTTTCATCATATTCTAAGAGTCAAGAGATTTATCTATATGTTGGTCAGAATCCAATGTCAAAAGCTCACAGCAGTGGCGTGCCCAGGAATTTTTTCCGGGGGGGGATTGATCGTTCCCAGGGAGGACCACTGTGGAGAGAAACTGGTTTTAGACACGCGAAAATAATTCGGCCCGTATCCCCCTCCAAGTGTTCGTATTTCTCCAAGGGGGGATCGATCCCCCCAATCCCCCCCTCTGGGCACGTCACTGGCTCACAGGGACGAACTATTGTAGACTTTTGCCAGTCTTACTGAAAACTCCATGTGAACATAAATCATGAATATCACTTATGGTAATTCTCTCCTCAAATAGGAGCATAATCTCCACATTCATTGACTGATTCGAATTATAAAATTCTACAAGAAGTCAATTTTTTTTATAAATTCGTAAACTAGAATGTTTTCATTGAATACATATATTCATGATTATTACAATTAAAATAAATTTAATTTATCTATTTTAGCTGACAAAGGTCTTCAAATATGTTGGAAACCACAAAAAAATATTCAAACACATTTTATCGAAGTAATTTTTAGCAATGAAACAAAATCAGATGGAGGTCCTATACAAACACATAAAATCTATCAACATTTAGGTGTTGCACAAGTATTTTATCAAAATTCCGACAGTAACAAAATAAATAATAATTTGATCAAAATAAAAATTATTTTTTTCATATAATTTTAGTTGTTGAACAAGTTGTTCTACATGGACCTATAACATTTCAATCATTTACTTTTACAACACGTCTTTTACAACGAATAGTTGATAAACGTCATATATGTTTTTCAAATATTCCTATTGAAACAACTTATATTAAATCATATATTGATACTGTTTCAATGCCTTATACAAAAAAAACTTTTGAATATTATGAAAATGATAAACAAACAATTCTTATTGAATATAATGAAGATATTGGTAAAAATAATTTTTTATTTGAAAAACAAAATGTTTTTTTTTTGTTTTTGTTTTGAAGATTTTTCTAAAATTTCATTAAATATTCGAAATCATCCTGAATGTAATGGATCAATAATTAATTGTATTCAATTATATTATCCAGAAACATTATTAATCGAATATGATCAAGAATATTCTGAAGATGATATTATTAAATTATTTGATAGGAAAAAAATTTTCCATGTGAAAACTTATTTGTATTGTTCTTTTGTGCATTTCTATTCTCATGATGGTAAGTTTATTGAAAAAAATGAATTTTATAATTTATCACTCATGAGATAGATCAATGTGTCTACTCTCGAATAAACTATAGTTTATTGATTTTCTAATGAGACTTATGGATATTACATAGGTTTTTTTTTGTACGGCCTTTGAAGCTTTTCTGTTGACTTTTAGCTATGACTATCATCTATTGTTAAGTATAATAGGTGAATACGACATTCGACTATGAAAAACTCTAGAATGAAATCAAAGTAATAAACATTGACTCATAAGTACAGTTATGTTGGCAAAGCAAATAGTCAAAAGGTTTTTTCCTCCTATTCTTCCAACAATGTAAAATAGGCTATGAATCATCGTTTATTTTATTTTTAACAAACTTTTCTTTGTCACATTCTGAATATAACATACTTGAAAGTGTTTAGGATTATTTGAAAATACTTCTTCTAAGTAATGTATGTCGATTTTGATAAAATCATAGGTTTTTTTTTTTTGTCAAACAGATGATTTTTCTTACTATCTTGGTGGATGTAATAGGGCCATATGAAAACGAAAAAGAATTCTCTCTTGTACACCTTTATATGCATTCAATGGATATGTTCTAAACTTTTGCAATTTACGTGAAGATCCTTTGTTAATCAGTCGATAGAAGGAAAAACCTTGAAACTTAATTTGAATTTTTCTCACATTTTCGTCTACTTTAGATTTCTCCAGCATTAAAAGCTAAACATTCTGGAACTACGATCTCTTGGATTTTCTGTATTTTACCAGATACTCTGAGGTACATAGCTCTAAAGATATATCCACTAAAAATTTCATGAAGATTGAATCAAAATAAAATGTATTATTTCATTGTTATTAGATATAACTAGAGGTTATTTCAGTTCAATAGAATCAGTTTTTGATGAATGTTCTACTAAATCAAACATTCTTTTTCGTTTCATTGAGTCATGATTTTCTTTAATTTACAATGCATGTTTTGTTTTAGAGTAGATCTTTTTATCTTTTAACGCGTAAAGCTAATAAACATTGATAGGATTTCGAAAGCAAGAACTCAGTGATCGCATTTTCCGATTTCGGTGAGAACCAGTGGTAATATCGAGCAGGATCGACTATTGAATTCAATTACCGAACTTCTAATTCTATGTTTATAGTATTCTTCGGTCAAAAAAACAGCATCTTTCCAATGAGCTCCTGTCGGATATCCACGACTTCAGATAATAGAATCATTTATATGGATATAGTTAATATTTTTAAAGCATACAATCGTTGATTTTTTTTCGTTCTTTGTCTTCAAAAACAATAAAAGTAAAGAAAGAAAATGACAAAACTGCCCTTATCGAGAAAGAAATTTCAAAAATAAATAATTTACGATGTAAAAGTAGGAGTAGCATTTTATCGTTACATAACAGGGTGAAGTAACTCAACTGTAGTATACTAGAAAAATGTCGATTTTTTGAAATCTAAAAATGAGAAACATTTTTTTTCTAATTTTATATTATGCACCACAATAAAGATAAAGAATCACCTCTAATAGTTTATTCTAGCTAGTTTTTCTTAATACATAACTAATTTTTGTTTTTGATGTACTTTATAACTTCCTGTAATTTGATGTTGATTGATATTTTTTCATAACAGATATTTAGTTGTATCATGTATCTTATACTTTTCAAACATATATCGAATAGTTATGTCTAGTATATTATGTTTTTTTTTGAAATAATACTAAATGTTTGCTTTAACGTTTTTCTTTGCTGCATCCTCATCGAAGTAGCAAATACCTTTTACTAGCTTTTCTCAATACACATCTACAAATAACATGCTCTCTTAACAGAAAGAAATTACTTGCAATAAGATTCTTGAATAAGGAATCATAGTTGAACATTCCAGAAAATGATAACTGTTTTCTATCTCTAACCGTCGGAATGATGATTCTGGAATTATAAGTTAGCCATGATATTACTGAATCTATAGTAGTAATTAAACTAATATAAATCATTCATTTGTTACTTTAAAACAAAACAAAAAAATTAATCTTTTAAAAAATATCACTAGTCAATATAATATAGAAAATCTGTTAGTGCAATTTCTTGTGGATTGAAATATGAAATATGATATAGCTCGTATTATTAATCATAGAGCAATTATGTTATTCTATCTATTTTTGGCACACATTTCTTAACTATTCTTTTAGTTAATCCTTCAGAAATGCAATAAGGAATTAGTTTATTAATTATAACGAGACATTATTCATAGACAATTTTTAATTGTAAATCAACAACGTCTGTTACGTTCTGTCGACAGTACAATTTTCTATCCTATATACTTCAATACTTATTTTACATCATCTATCACAAAATACTATGCAGAATTGAAACTGGAGAGTTTTTTTCTGGCCGAATGAATTTTACAGCAAAAATCCGGCGAAAATAACCGATCACGAAAGTGTCTGTTCATATAAAATGGTGACGAAATGAAATTGAATATTCACGTGTAGTAATACCGAACTAGAGGTGATCAATTTACATTTACGAAAATTTAATAAATTTTGTAAATTGAAATTTATTTTAAATTTAAATTCATTTAATTAGATTGCAATCTCTTCACATTAATTCATATGAGATTCAAATCTAATTAAATGAATTTAAATTTAAAATAAGTTTAAACTTTCACATCTGAAAAATTTAAATGCACAAAAATTGAAATTTAAAATAAATTAATAGGAAATCGCTACTCCTAAAATACGAACTGAAAACTAAAATTTGGGAATGAAACTCTCACCATCAAAAAAAGCAAATTTATAACAAATCTAACACAAAATTGTTAATATTTATTTATTTATTTTTATTTAGACAGCTGCCTAAGTAGAACAAGAAAATAAATTATTTGATCTAGGTTAAATTGAACAATACACGAGAAAGAAATCAATAGAACTGTAAAGAAAACAATTAATCGTTTATAATCAAATCGAAGACAAGATATCCATTGAGTATTTCACAAACATATTCTTCTGACTTGAGAATTTCATTAAAAATATCGTTTTCAGTAGAGAAAATTCTTGGTTGTAAACAACAATTTTGTAATGATGAACTAGCAAAAATCCGATTCTGTTCGGCCGGATCAAAACCAGATAGCCGAACCGGTTCCAAACTCTGAGACAATAATAGAATAACTATTCAATGAATTTTAGCTAATTTTTGTTTGAATCGAAGTTTATTTGAATTTGATTTTTTTTTCTTCAATTCTCAATTTAGATCTCGTCCAATCAATCAATAAAACATTCGATAATTTTGTTCGAGTGATACCAATTTATATTGATATATATTCAGAACATTATTTGAACGATTATTTACAACGACGACAAATGGAATTTCAACTAAAATCAACCAACACTTTGCCTAGTCCTTCATTAAATAAGATCACTAAAAAAGAACTAGTATCTCCTACACCAGAGATTAATTCATCTTCTAAACCTCTACCAACAACACCTATTTTATCACCTCCACCTATTAATCAACAAATAGGTTTGTTATAACTAATGTCAAAATAAAAATATATCTATCAATTCTAGAAAATTCTTTGGAACTTAAATCATCGATTAAAGAACAAAATTCTACTTCTAAACAAGAAACAATATCATTAAATAATCAAAATCAATTATTTATTGAAGAAAAAAAAGATGAATTATTGATAAATATTAATGAAGATGAAACATTACCAAGTGAAGATGATTTTCATGATTTACCATCAGATTTTGATAATGATGATTTATTTCTTGATGAATCAATTGATGATCAAGGTGATATGGAATATCTTCGTAGTGCAGCAAAAAATTTAATGTCATCATTAGCTGAAATGGAAGAAGCTAGTTCAAATACTGAAACAGATGATACACCACATTCATTATTATATGGTGATGATTATGTTGTTACAATAAAAAGTCGTCGATTTGCAATAGCTTTTCTTGATTATACACAATTTCGTGTTGAAAAACAACGTAATCCAGATAAATTTCGTTTACTTGCATCATTAAAAAAAATGTCAAATAATAAAAAACGATTAGATCATATAGAAGAACATGATCAAACATTATCATCAACGTCTACAATCGAAATAAAAACAAATAAGAAAAAAAGAAATAAACGTAATAAAAAGAAAAAAAATGCAAACAATAATGATGATAAAGGTAATCAATCATTTAATATTGATCAAAGTCTATCATAATTTAAACTTCCCAGAACGACTTTCTATATTTTTTTTCAAATAGATTTATAAAATTTATCATATAAAAAAAACAAGTTTTATTTCCTTCAAAATCTATTGAATATTGATGAGTTTCAAAAAAAAAACGAATTATATTTAATAATTATTCAAAATTATTGTTTTGTTCTTTTATTGTTTTATATAGATGATGAGATTGGCATGACAAATTAATGATAAAATAAATTCACAGATATAGACATAATGGTATTAATCGAGAAGTGATACTGATATAAAACATTGTTTTCTTTTTGATAAAAGAATTTATTTTTTTTTCTTTTTCATTTTGTTTTTTTTTTTTTGTATTATAATTATGTGTGAAACAAATGAGAACTATTATGAATAAAATGAAACGTGATATTGTAGATAATAGAAAAGAAATTTTCTTTTTTTTAAATTCTCTATAAATATCCCTGCATATATTTAATTTTATTATTCATATAATAAAAAATAAAAGAAAAAATATTCTCAAATAACTGGAGTTGTTTTTCGTCCACAAAGTAACCAGATAATCAAACCTAAAAAAACAAAACAAATAAACATTTATATAATATTTACAATAAAACAAAAATTAATACATACCACCAATAGGAAATAGTATAATTAATAATATCCAAAGTAATTTTCCAAGTATACTACGAGGTGTTCCAAGAACATCAACAATAGCAATAATATCAAGAATTAATATAATCTAATATAAAATGAATAGTTCAAGTGGTTTTTTTTTTTTTATTTATATACTTACAAGTCCACCAATACTTCCACCAATATATCCTCCAAGATTATCAGCATTGACTAGATTACATAACAATGATAACCATATAAATATAAATGTTATAGAATACAACGACATAATTACTAATATTTAATATTGCAAAAAAAAAACAATGTTCGATACGATCGTGTATAACCCTATTTTTATCATAAAAACATCCGAATTAGTCATTGATTTCTATCGATCATATAAGCCTTTATATTTTGAGACAATCGAGAATACAAAGTAAAGAAAAAGGCATTACTGGGTTTTTTTTTGTGGCAGTAAGCATTTTTTTCTCATTAACCAAAAAAAACCACATCTGTATTTCACTCTTTGATACCCAAATTCAACTGAATACTATTTCGTATACTTTTTCACATAGATTTTTTTTTTCTTCTAAATCTTGAGCAAATACATTTTATCTCGACGTGTAATATTTCACATAGTCTTTTTTTTTTCTTTATAAATATCGATAATGATATATTTTCAATTTTTTTGTGACTATTGATAAAAATAAACTGAATAAATCAATTAAAAACACTTTTACTGTCTACAAAAAATAATTGCAGTTTTATGCAAATACCTTTTTTGTTTTATCAAGCATATCGCATACTGCGTTGATTTTACGTGTACACCTATTTGACGTTCTACAGAGAAAAATTCCCCACTCTTTTTGACAATAATTTTATGGTCTTTTTCATTCTTTTGAGTAATTCAAAGTAAAGGATCGAAAAAAGCCATATGTTTTTTATCGACGTGTATTGCTTGTGTATGACAGACAAGAAAAAATAAAAAATCGAGACAAAAATTGTCACATTTCGTTAGCCATACATAATCAAAAATCTATTCCTTATGGGAAAGCAAACTAATTGTGAGTATCTTGTAAAGCATATAGAAGTGACATTCAAAATATAATAGTCCAAGTTTACAAAATCGCTATCAATCGTTATGGATACCATTGTTGGTTATTTTGATCAGAAGAAAAAAAAGACATCTCATTTGCAACCGAGTTCTCATGATAAATCAAGTGGTACGGGTACATCATCAACAAAAAGACATTTAGAAGTTATCAAACGAAAAGTGTTAGCATTTATGGATCATCGTAGTCGAATACCATCAGATGATAAAAATGTATGTAGACCTCCTGCTTCTCCTGCCCCTTGTGTTACTTCACATTGTTATCCTCAACCAATCTGTGTTAATCAAAATAGAACACCAAAAGAACGATTACATCAGCATACACCATTAGTACAACGTAAAGAATTAGAACAGTCTCAATATCAAGTGCCATTACATAAGCAATTACCGTATCTTGCATTAGCTACACCATGTGTAACTCGTCGATTGTAAAAGTCATGGTCAAATGTTGACGAAAAATTATCCGTTTATGTGATG